ATTTCTGTTCATGTTTTTTGTCTGCTTCTGACACCAACTTTGCTGTCACTGTTGCTGTGGTGACTACTGCCTGCCTAAGTTTCTCAAAGTATGCTTGTGTGCTCAATCCAAAAAGTTGCCCCTTTTTTCCTTACAAAAGGGCATGAGGATCCCTTGATATAGTCATACTCTATCACAACACAATACTTTAATGGATACCTCCCCCCTAACTTACTTTGGACACTATGACAATATTTGTTTTCAAGAATGGATATCTAGTAACTGAAAAAGTATCTCCTGTAATGACATGATCCTTCAGTCTGGGGCCCAGAGGACTAAGGGCAAATGGGGCAGGCAATAAATATGTTGAGACTATTCCAACCACAGAAAATGGTATGCCTTAGTTGATCACTAATGTGATCAACCATCCAGATTAGGGGTCAGCTCTGTTCTAGACTCAGGGCTCCCCGCCAACCGTAAGTCAGGTCCAGACCTGGGTTGTCCAGGGCAGGGGCTGACAATCATCTGATTGTAGACCTCAGCCCTAGGACAGCCCTGGGTCCTGCTGTGCTACATATTCAATTTATGGAGCCATACAAACAAGCCACAAATAAGATCTGTATATTTTGTGGAATATCTTTGTGGCTGGTTTGCCATTTTATTATGCTGTAACTTGGCCACACATGTAGCATTTTTACTATTTATGGTGCACCAAATTATTTATGTTTACCACCTAAATCGCACCATAACTGTAATGTGTGCCAGTGGCCTCAGGGACATATATAACCCTTAGGCCTAATCTGGCCCGCAGAGCTGCTGGATCCAGCCCACAGAGCTGAAGGCTTTACCTGTGCCTGTGCCCATGTTTATGTGGGGGTCATGCACATTTGTCTTCTGGATTTGTTTTGGAAATACCTTGACAGTTGGCAAAATCTTGTACACTGCCAGTGAAGCCATTTGCTCAGTATAAGCCACATTAATAGATGTTCTCTCTTGTAAATGCAAGTTCCCTAGTACAGTCAGGGGCAACTTTTTTGGTAGGCATGTCACAGACTAGCTCTGCACTCTCCCTGTGTGCCTCTCCAGTCTCCTTTCCATGCCCAATCTGCTGCTGTAGTTTTTGCTCCTTGCTTAATCTTCTGTTTTGCTGTCTGCTTCCTGCAATCCACTTCTTGCCTGATTTGCTGCTCTGCTTTCTGCTCCCTGTCCTATCTACCACTGTGCTGCCTGTCCCCTTGCCAATCTGCTGGGTGCAACACACAGAGGTTTCTTGGGCCTCTTGTGGCGTTCGTAGAGCAAGTTGGCCACCCCTATTCTCTCAATGTCAGGAGAATCTTATCTATGCCAATCCTCCGTATCTATGCAGTAGAATATTTATTAGGGGTTCCTATTAGCTCACAAAGACCCCTCTAACACATCACCAGTTCATTTGTCATGTTAAGATGCTACTTAAATTAGTTTTAAGTGGTCAGTCCCCAGAAACTTCTCACTGATTAGTGTCTTGCAACTCATTTACTTTCCAAGGCTTTAGATTTTGAAAAGAAAAGGCTGTATACTCTGAAAGTGGAAGCTACCAATACTCATGTAGAACCACGATTCCTCTACTTGGGGCCATTCAAGGACTCTGCTACAGTTAGAATTTTGGTGGAGGATGTGGACGAGCCACCAGTGTTCAGCAGACCAGCATACATAATAGAAGTTAAAGAAGATGCTCAGATAAACAGCGTTATAGGAACAGTGTCAGCTCAAGATCCTGATGGTGCCAAGAATCCTGTCAAGTAAGCATACACCATTTCAGCTCATACTCTTATCTTTCTCATGCTTTATTTTTGTCTGTATTCAGGCACCTGCACACAAACCCCCATTGTCTTTAACAATGAAATCATTTTTAGATACATGCATGTAGGCTTATGTATTGCATAAGTTAAATATATACACAAGAGTGTTTGTGCATATGTATTATACAAGTTGATTTACATTTCAAATATTTTTGCATTTAGCATTATTTCATTACTCTATAGACATTAAGTACATTAGTTAGTGCATGGAAAAGCTTTAAAAAATACTGGCATCACATTTCCCAGTTTTAAGATGGAAATCTGATTTTTTAAAAGATAACTGCTATGTTTACCAACTTAGATATATGTATACACCTACAGACTCAGATCTCATTGGTACTGGTATAACTCCATTGACTTCAATGGAATTACTCACTGGTGCAAATGAGAGTACAATCCAGCTCACAGACTTTGTAAATTATGTATGTCACTAGGCACTTATCTATTCTTAAAGGCAGTTTGAAGTTCTGAGTAATTAAAGCCGAATCCCTGTTTTAAATGACTTCACAAGTGATATAGTTTCATAGTTTCATAGATTAAGGGTCGGAAG